CTGGCCGGCCGCGGCTGGCTGCAGTCCAGCGACCACATCCAGACGTCCTCGCTGTGGTGGAGATGCTTCCACGAGGGCGGCGGCAGCGGCTCCTACGACGATGGCTGCCAGAGCCTCATGGAGTACGGTGAGTGCCCGCGCGCCGCCTCCAGGACGCCCTCCGGGCCGTGGCCGGCCTAAGCCGGCGCGCGAGAAGGGTCCTTGCGGGCGCCCGAGGGACGGGCGCTTTGTCCAAGTGTTTGCCGGGAGGTGAGGCTCTCGAGTCTGACCCGAGCCGAAGCAGCAGTTTTGGGTGGCCAACACCAGGCACAAAACCGGGGGGGGAGGGGGGGATGGCCCCAGGCCAAACTATGTTTTGTTTTGGGTTTTTTTTTTAATTCCGTAGGATTTGTCGGTTGCCTACACAAAAGATTCTTTCAGCCACTGCAAGGTTTAGATGAGTAAATGTAATGAACAAAGTATTGTTTCTTGGAGACCTCCGGAATTTCTTCCCATTCTCCTTCCTCCTCCTAAAATATAGTTATTACAATGACCCACCTTCCCTCTTATCAGTGGATTCCTTTAACTTGAGCTAAGTCAAAAGAAAAAAAGCCCCTTCGGGCAGTTTGAGAGTTAAAATCTGAGTAGCTACTTCAGTCTTTTACCCGTCAGGCTAGTTCTTGTTAGCTCTTGTTCTAGGGAGAGTCGTTTGGCTGAAGCCTGGCATTGCTGTTGAGAAAACTTAATTATTTTAATCGGATTTGAAATCTAAAAAGCAAACACGTCCTCTAGGGCGGCGAAGTGAAGCGGAGTTGACAGGTCTCGCTTACACGGCAGATGAAGGGCTGTGTTTCCCAGCATGGAGGAAACCTGGGTGCTTAACTTGGTGGTGAGACCGGAGAGCGGAGTGAGTTACTAGGACCGGAGGGAGGCGGTGGGATGTCCTTCCCCCTGGCCTAGGGGTGGGGTGAATCTCAGCTGGGGTCTGGTGTGATCAGCAGTGAGCCGAGGCGGGGGAAGTGTGAGCATAATCGAAAACTTGAAGCCGAATGGGGCGTTGCCATCTGAGTTTAATCGTTTTAAACACAGAAAGCAAGCCACCCTGCCTTTTTTTATTCCTTGCTGTGTGACCACTGACTTGATTCTTTTCTCTGGTGGCCCAGGCCTCATCCCGCTTGTTTGTGTTTCTGGGGTACTATAGCAGCGACTTGGTGCTGTGTCTTATCTTTTGTGGAATTGTTTGGAAGTTCTCACTATGAACTTTCCCCAAAAGGAAAACAAGTCCCCAGTAGCCAGGTGCTAAAATGCAAACACTGCAGAACATTCCAGGGTTCCTTAAAGTTTGTGTTATTCCCAGGCCTTTTGGGTTGTAAAGGGGAATGAATTTCTTTGAAATAATATAAATATCATCGTCTACTTAAAATGCATTTGAGCTCAGTCTTTTCTAAGAGACCGCAGATCTGTGTGTGAGTGTGTTTTTAAACAGCCTTTGATAATTATACCCTATTCTAAAGTCTAATATAGAGCCAGAGAATACTCAGTAATCTTCCACACCGGAAATAAGAAGTTAGTGGGCCTTTGACAGGAGGAGAATACTGGCACCACCTTGATCAAGACTATTGCTGGGACATGATTTGGCCTGCAAGACTCTGGCTATGACTATAGCCCTCTTGTGAAACATATACAATGCCGGTTTTATTTTTCTTGACTTGCAGGGTGAGCTCACCTTCTTAGGGTGTGGCTTCTCCAGCCTCAGACTGATACAGTGCTTTGTATATGGAAGGGAGTAAGCAAGTTTTGTTTTATTCGTTGCTATGATCACTGAATTGATTCTTTTCTCTGGTGGTCCAGGCCTAATTCTGCTTGCTTTATAGTTTGCTTGATTTTTAAAATCCTGCTTGTTTCAGTTTGCTTGATTTTTAAAATTTGATAGAAGTCTAAAACTTTGACTTTTTTTGTTAAAAAAGCAAAACAAAACACTGGCCGGGCGCAGTGGCGCATGCCTGTAATCCTAGCACTTTGGGAGGCCGAGGCAGGAGGATTGCTTGAGCGCCAGAGTTTGAGACCAGCCTGGGTAACATAGCAAGACTTCGTCTCTACAAAAAAATAAAAAAATTAGTTGGGTGTGGTGGTGCATGCCTGTAGTCCCAGCTACTTGGGAGGCTGAGGCTGGAGGATCACCTGAGCCCAGGAGGTCAAGGCTGCGGTGAGCCATGATTGTGCCACTGCACTGGAGCCTGGGCAACAGAGTAAGACCCCGACTCAAAACACAAACAAACAAACAACAACAAAAAAGCCCACCGATCTAGGGTATAGTTTATGTTTCCATTTGATATAGAACATGGTTTTTGAAAAAGCTAGGCTTTTCAAGTGAATCTTGAAACATCTCTTACTACCTTTATGACGCCACACGCCTGATTTTTATAAATGGGTGGTTGACAGCTTTGACGTCTCAATTTAGTTATTCCTGTTACCTTGCACAAGTAAAATGAAGTGCCAGTCATGCATTAGACGGCTCTTGCTCAAGACCTAAACTCAGGTCATGGATCTGGGCTCTGCTGTTCTGAGGTGGCAGTGGGAGGAAGACAGCAGATGTGAAGCCACCAGGAGAGGCCACTGCCTGCCATTGTTGTCAGAGATGAGGTTGAGTGCTTATTCAACTTCTGCGCCCATCACCTGCTTGGGCTGTTGGCTGGTTTTGCCTCACAAGTGTATTCTGACACTGTAGAGTGACTGTCTAGGCAGCCTGAACGCCATAGATTTTCAAATAGCCACAGGAAGAAGGCCTTGCTGAAAACTACCCGAGCCTGTACTTTGTCTAAAATGCAATAAACAGTTTACACTCTCCCACATATGTACAAACACATAGTATCTTGTGCAGCAAGGGGGTAAGGTTGATAGCTTTGATTAAACTGATATCTCAATATAGAGGTATTGCGTGTGTACGTCCATTTAAAAAAACTTTTTGGGGCCGGGTTCGGTGGCTCAGCCTGTAATCCCGCGCCTTTGGGAGGCTGAGGTGAGCGGAT